GCTAGAGAGTTTTTCCAATGGAGCAAGAAATACGCAATATAAAGCCTAAGAATTCGAGAAAATTGAATCAATTAAAGCTTACCAATTGAAAGTCGTCCAACAATTCGAAAGAAGGAAACACTATCTGATTTTTCGAAAGACATGAGAATAAGGGGAAATCAGAGGCAATTCAAAATCAAATGTTCCATAGTGAATTGAAGACCGATTCTTCGAGGAAAGCATCAAAATGAAACTAATGGATCTGCTTAAAAATTGAATTGAAATTAAAGGCTAAGAACCAATGTGCCTGTGAGAAGTGATCATCCAAGGCTAATTTACCTCGAATTGAATTGCCTTGTAGAGAAACTTGAAATTACCTTGTATTCAAGCTTCCCATATTTGGCTCAAACTTAAAATTTGCCTTATTTCCTTCAATAATCTGATTTTTCCAGGCTTCATCGGCTAGAAGGAAAGAGACCGAAGAGTAGAAGGAAAGCTAGTATGTTTTTTCGGCTTCATCAGCTAGAAAAGCTCTATTTTTTTTATTTTAGTTATTTTTTTGAAAGGTAAGTTTATTTATGGATCTCGTGCCATGTCATATATTATTTGTTAAAAAAATGACACATCCCCCGCCACATGTCGTACCTCAATTCTGCCAAATGTCAGGCTCTTACAGCTCCGACTCTGCTTTATATATATAAAGGATTCTGGTGATTTTAAATATTAATTTTAGATAAACACTCCAAAATTTATAATGTCAAATACTCCATTGTCCCAAATTAGATTTCATGATTATTATTTTGATTTTTTGATAATTTTTTATTCCAAAATACTCCATCAAAATAAACAAAATCAAAATACTCCATTGTCCCAAATTAGATTTCAAAATTTATAATGTCAAATACCCCATTTTTTATTTATATATTTTTCTTTTAATAAAAATACAAAATTTCATTTCTATTTTCACAAAGTATAAACATTATTCGGGAGAGACCTTATTTTCACAAAGTATATACTACGTACTACTCCTTCCGTCCCAGAGTATTTGTCTACTTTCATTTTACACACCATCCAATGCACTTCTTTAATCTATTTTATCTTGTAATTTATATATTAAAAAATTATAGAAATTATATATTAATAATCTATATGTTAAGACAAATCAAACAAGATCACACATGACTAGGGCTGGACACGGTAGCGGTACAGTACCGCTACCGGCAACGGTACCGCCGGTACCGCTACCGTCACCGCCGGCATCACGTCTCTCCGGTTCCGGGGAACCGGTACCGGCACCGCCCCCCACGGTACCGGTTCCGGTGCCAGTATTTCGGTACCGGCACCGGCGGTACCGGTACCGGTTCCGTTACCCATTGAATTTATTTTTTACTTTTCCCAGTAGATCGACCGGCACCTATTTTCACCTCTCTTTTTCTTGTTTCTTCAGCAGTTCAGCCTTGTGCTCTGCTTCAAGGATGGCCAAGTGCCAAGGTAGAGTTTGAACGGAGTACATGTTTAGGTGTTAGGACGGTATATTATTTTTTTATTTCATTATTTCCCTTAACTATTACATATTTACAATTTTAAACTTTTAAAAATTTAAAACAAAAAGCAAAAAAAAAGGGGGTTGCCGAAACCGGCCGGTCCGGTACCGGAACCGCCGGTCCGGTACCGGAACCGCCGGTCCGGGTACCGGAATCGGTACCGTCCGGTCCGGTCACGGTACCGGTACCAAGGGGTGGCGGTACCGGAACCAGCGGTTCCAGAACCGGAACCAACGGTTCCGGAACCGTACCGTGTCCACCCCTACACATGACTATATTTAGACTTACACATTGAGAGAATTTGATGAGTCAAAGTTCTTAGATGAACAGTTTCAAAAGTCAAAAGTGGACAAAACTGGGGAACGAAGGGATTATGTAACTTGTACCAGATCTCATTTGTATACCACAAAACTCTCCACCATAGATTTTTATCATTTTTATATAAAAACATTGGAGAGGGGATAAAAATTACTCCTATATGGTTGGGGCACTAGGGAGGGATGTACAAATGAAGTACCAAAAACTTTTGGGGTATCCTCGAATTATTCGTGTATTTAGTACTCCCTCCGTCCTAATTCTTTCTTCTCAGTTTGACTTTTCCCCATTTTTAATTTTTGGCTTTGACTTCAAATTTTACCTCCTTAAAAAAGATATTTTGAAATTTTTTTTGCAATCATTCAAAATATAGAGTTAGAAGATAATTGGTATAAATACATGAGGATATTAATGTCATTTGTCATCTTTTTTTTCCTAATGGGAAGGTAGTTTTAGGACGGGGAAAAATGGGAAGTGAGAAGAAAATTTTAGGACGGAGGGAGTATTTTTTTAAACACTAAGGGGCTGTTTGGCAACTTCTGAATGTGTAAGTGCTGAACCAGTAAGAGGTCTGAACCATTAAGTGCTGAACCAGTAAGAGGTCTGAACCATTAAGAGCTATTATATTGCTTAACTATTCAGAGGCAAATGTCTGATCAATTCAGATAAAAGGTCTTAACCATTCAGACTCTATATAATACTTAACCATTCAGAGGCAAATCTCTTAATCATTCAGACATCTGAACCATTAAGAGGCTGAAACAAACAGTCTGAACCATTAAGAGGCTGAAACAAACAGTCTGAACCATTAAGTGCTGAACCGTTCGGACATTTAAACCATTAAGAGGCTGAAACAAACAGCCCAGCCCCTAATTACTGCATGCTGTAATTATTGATAGGCAACGCCGCAACTGTATCTATATCTGGTTTGTTGGGATCTCGGAACAAGATCTCTCCCCCTCTTCTTCAACTATTCCGCCTGCTCCGCTCCACATCCCGCCATTCTCCCAGGTACTCCGAAACCCTAAAAAATCGACTTCTTCCTCTTCCCATTATTCATTTCCATTTCCCCAGTTACTTTTCTCCTAATCTTTCCAGAGCAATTTCAAGATTTATAACAATCCTATCTCAACGGGATGAATCCCTGCTATGACTCGCGTGCTTAACTCTTTCGCCTTACTTCTCGCTCAAGTTGATGTTTTTTTTTTAAATTTTCTGGAATGAATTCAACGAGAAATTAGTAGTTTATCAAATCTTGACTTCTGGGTCATCAGTCTAACTGCATCCTTGATTTTTTGATGTATTATGTCTCCCAAACTAGTGTACATTTTGCATGCTTAAGTTTTATCTGCAATTGTAATTGTAAAGTTTTATCTGTAGTAGTAGCAGTAGTAAACCTTTCAGATTCATTTTCTTGTCTGATTTCTACGCCCAGAAGAGTGTTCTCGGGCATGGAAGGCGAGGATTTCATCAACTTACCTGCTTGCAGTGGTTCTGAGTTTGAATCTGAAGATATTGAGCAAATTAATATGCTCTCTCCCATAAGAGAATCTATGATGGTTGGAGACAATGCGAACAATGAGGTTGTTGGAATTGAAGGAGATGTTGGAAGTGGAGGAGCTAGTGACATTGATTTGGGGATACATATCTCTACTACACTTCGCGATGGTGTTGAATTAGCTGAAACACTTGAGGTAACAGAGAATACGACTTTCATAAACTCTAAGATATGTACAGACAATGGCTCCATGGCTGTTGAAGATGAATGCAATATTTCTGGCCACTTGGAAGATGAAAATCCTGCCAGGAGATCGAAGATTTGTCCCACTGGTATGATAATATGTTGTTTTACTTTGTACTACGTATATTAGTTATGTGCTAGTGTACTTCTCCATAAACCTCTAAAAGAGTCATGATTAAGAGGTACACCTTTTCAACTTTACTTGTACAATATTTTTTTATTTAATTTGTTGGTTTAATTAACACTGCCAGTACCCTTTTAGAAAAATGAAAACAATTCAATGATAAAATATCTTCATTTGCAACAAGTCTTTTGTTGGGTAGAAGCCGTTTTTAAATTACAAGACTATATATAGTCTAGTTTTTGAAAGCTGTGTTTGCCCAATATATATGCTGTACATTTATTTTCCTAATGTTCTCTTGTTAAATTGTGTAAACCTTAGGCTTATCTGGTGTCAAGAGACCTCGAACAACTCTTGATGAGGATAAACCTTGTGTACACATCGTCTATAATGCTCTACCAAGGTTTGAACAAATAACACTCAACTTCTCTCTTCTTTTCCTTCTCTTTATTAGTCAGATTTACCATTTACACTCGTTCCTGTAAGTATATTGTCTGTGAACTAGTCATTGCCCAAGCACTCAGTGAATAAACCTATTTCAGAGAGAGTAAACAGAAGCTCGAGGAACTATTACAGAAGTGGTCACAATGGCATGCTGAACATTGCTCTTCGATACAAGTGAGCTTAGTTTATATTTAGCAGTTAACAATATTTCAAGTGTGCTTGTTAGTATTCATCCCCCATGAGTAGAATCTTCCAAAACATTAGATACTTACAAATTAGAAATATTTCAAAACCCATGTATTTGTCTATTCAATGTTTGTTTTGTGTTTAGCGGTTCATTCATTCTTTTCAATTTGCCGTAAGTAGGGGGGTAACTGATAAGCATAGGTTAATTATGATTCATTCTTTAAAAGTTAAATGTTTTTTTTTGGCGTCCCAGGATCCAGCAAAAAATATTGAATCTGGCAAGGAAACATATTTTCCTGCTCTTTTGGTCGGGTTGGAGAAGCCGTGTGCAGTGGTATGTTCCTATATCTGTTTGCAATTTAAGCTGTCAATATCCATTTTTTAGAATATAAAAAATCAGTCACATAGCTATCCGCCCCCAAAAAGTTTTATTTGACCATGCAACAACTATCTTTTTTGTAAGGTACAATTGCCATAAATCCTTTATCCCATTCATACATTAAAAGAATTATTTGTTGTTCTATTTAAAATTTTCATATAAAATTTCATACTTTATTTACAAATTACATGAAAAACTTTTTGTTGTTGAAACAAGACATAAAGGTTCTTAAAATGGGATTCTTTTGGGATGCTGAGTAACTATAAAATTTTGTCTTATTGATGGTATTAACATTAGCGTGTATGGGATTCATTACAAACTAAATAAATAACAGCACCAGTGATTAGTCACATATTGAATTAATTCAACTACTCAAGTGCTTAGTCTAAGTAGATACTCATAGCTAGCTAACTTTATTACTTATTCTGTTTATTTTTAGCCTTTTTGGATGGACGACCAACCAAAGAACAAAGTATCTGAGGAGTATACAGCATTAGATACCAGCTCTGTACCTCTCTATGACCGTACATATACATTTGCTCTGACCTCATCCGACAGTCCAAACAAATTGGAAGGGCGAGTAACTTTACATTATGTTGTGATATGATAGACCTAATTTGATTGTTGTTAACTTGGTGTTAAGAACACAAGGAGTATGCAGGTTCTGTTTTTGTTACTTTCATTGAGAAGTATATACTTTTGGTTCTTTAATGCTTTAATGTCTTAGTACTTGTAGCACTACGCATGTTCGTTCCTGTCTTGTGGCATTGCTTTCTCTGGTTTGTGTCTGGATCTTCTCGAGTCACTCACTTACATGCCCATGTTTGTTAGCCTTCAGATAGCTATTTCACTCCAAGGACTTTTGTGCAGCCTATTTTATGAACATGCTTGGATTGGTATCTTAAGGGAATTGCTGAATCCCAGAAAGGGATAGGGAAAAGGGGAAAATGCTAAATAAAGCTGTGTTCTTATGCTTGGTTTCACCTTGTAAATTTCAAAATAAATTGAAATATGATTGTTTCTTGATAACATTTACCTATATCTATATTTCGTAGCCTTTATATAATAGACAAATAAATAATACTCCCTCCGTCCCACTGTCTTTGTCCACTTACCTTTTGGCACACCATCCAATGCACTTCTTTAATCCATTTTATCTTGTAATTTGTATATTAAAAAATTATAAAAATTATATATTAATAATCTATATGTTAAGACGAATCAAACAAGATCACACATGACTATTTTTAGGCTTACACATTGAGAGAATTTGATGAGTCAAAGTGCTTAGATGAACAGTTCCAAAAGTCAAATGTGGACAAAGACAGTGGGACGGAGGTAGTATGAGTATCAATAATTATTTGAAATAAATTTATTGAGTTTTAGCTCACCATTTATTTTACCTCCAAAATTCCCTTTTATATTTTATTTTCTTTTCCTAGTATTTCCCGAGTTTCAAACCGACCTTGAGCCTGAGCACATTTTGTATCCTGAGCCTTATGTAGAGCTCCCAAAAGTCCAGAAGACTCGACTTTTTAGGTGCTTAATGAAAGATTTTGAAATTTTATTTTCTGGTTGCAGGGGATTGGGAGTTGATGCTTCTCGTTGTTTCAACTGCGGTTCCTATGGCCACTCACTGAAGGAGTGCCCCAAGCCTCGTGACAATGTTGCTGTCAATAATGCTCGAAAGCTACACAAGGCGAAACGTAATCATGGTGCTGCTTCTCGTAATCCTACCCGCTATTATCAAAACTCACCAAAGGGAAAGTATGATGGTTTAAGACCAGGTGTCCTTGATTGTGAAACGCGGCGGCTTTTGGGACTTGGGGTGAGGTTCTAATTAAATCAATGGTGTTGTGGTTCAATGCTTATATCAAAACATGTTTCCCTCCTAAAAGACCCTGCAAGTTTAAAACCTTTTTTTTTCTTTCTGTTGCATCCCTCCCATTCAGTATTTACATCCTCTTAATTTTATTTTGGGGTTTAGGAGCTTGATCCACCTCCATGGCTTTACAGAATGCGGGAAATAGGATATCCACCAGGCTATCTAGGTACATTTATAAATTCTTTTTCTTGCAATATCCAATTTCCTCCCCCCCCCCAACCCCCACCCTCCTGGGATGTCTCTGCCGGTTGCTTACACATGGTCAAATTGGAACATGTGTTCTAAAACCCAGCAATGTTCTGATCCAGAGAGTGTCCCACTTAGACTGTTCACGGGCTAAATTGTTCATGGGGCTGTTATTTTCTCCTTAATGCAGACAGTGAGGAAGATCTGCCCTCAGGGATCACTATATTTGAAGATGAGGAGGAGACCGTGGAAGAAACTGAGGAAGGAGAAATTCAGCATACGGGCTGTCCTGACCCACCACCACCTAAGAAGATGAGTGTTGAATTCCCAGGGGTAAACGCACCGATACCAAAAGATGCTGATAATTGGATTTGGTCAGCTGCAGGTCCTTCGCCAAGTTTTAGAGCCCCAAGAGCTTCATCACACAGCAACAGCTCTAGTATCAGTAGGCACTATTATAACAGTAACCAGTCTAACCACACACCAGAAGTCATCACAGATAGAGCACATTTTCTAGAACGACAGCTTTCCAGGGATTACTATGAACATGAAGGGCGCAACCATAGATCAGAAACCATCAACAGGAGCCTTGAAGATGATGGCCCCCCTGGCTGTGGGCGTGACCTTGACATGAGCCCTTCTCTATCTAAAAGATTCAGAGGTTTTGATTCCGGTTTCAGTGCCCTAACTCCAAGGGGTGGCGATGGGGGCAGTGGTTCTTCTGGATCAAAAGCCAGTAGCTATGAAAGATCCCATTCAAGACATCGACGGTAGAAGAAGAAGACACGAAGAACTTTTTGTGCATTAACTATTCACCAATGGATAGGTATGTTACCATTTCTTGTTGTCAAAGTTCTTTCATCTGTACATAATTTAGATGGGTATATGCGACTTCCCATAGATTGTGTGTGGAAATATTATTTGTATTTTGTGGGTAGTTCCCAAGTTAAGGCAGACTTGGAGGAGACTAGGGTACTTTGTTTTAATGTTCCCTGTTTTATATTTGAAGGAAGAAAAAAAAATGTTTCTGGGAGGGAGTAAAATAGTTGGAAATAATGTTTTTAATTTCAGTTCGTGTTTTGGATATTTTTTAAATAGTACCCATTTAAATGTTTTAATTAGATAGTTTTTTCTAAAAAATGTTAAATTATAATGTTTGGAGAAAATTATCCTCAAATGAGATTAAAACATGAAACATTAACACTAGGTTTTTTTTAATTTATTTTTACACAAAAAAGTCTTGTTTGGTCCTATTATGGTGCAGTGCACTCCATATTTTCAAATCTATTTTTACCCTTTTCTAAACTATTTATTTGTCATTGCGATTAGGTAGTAATGTTGATTTTTAGTGCACTCTCTTCACGAGTGGACAATAATGTTGGTTTTTATTGCATTCTCCGGGGTACTATCTTCGCGATTGGGCGGTAATTACACTTTGTAATTACTTTGTAGAAAATTACACTTATCTTTACACAATGACACAGATTGGCCAATGTTGCTGTCTCTACTGAAACTTGAACATAGGTGAACTTCTTCATGGATCTTGATGAGTGGAATTCTTACCACTCAAGCTAAGGAGAATATCATATATATATATATATATATATATATATATATATATATATATATACACACATATATACTCCGTATTAATTCTACAAATAAAACGATATTGAGTTCTACCAACTAGACGCACATTTAGAGTGTTCATCTCAAAATAAAAGATACTCAAATTATTATTTATATGTTTCACAAATTGTAAGTTTGTGTATCTCGTACTCCACTCGTTCTAAATTAAATAATCTTTTTTTTTGTTTAAACTGAGTATGAGAATTCGAGTGAAATTAAAAAATAAGAGTGGTTTTTTGTTTGTAATTTTAGCATTTCATTTTTTTTCTTGTGGAATGCTAGTCACAAAAAAATTACAACCTTGTTATTTGTGAATTTAGATATCAATTTTCAAATTATTTGAGACCATTTCATTCCATTAGTGGGTTCACAAAAGGTAAACTATTGCATTTTGTAACTTTTTGTTGCTAATTTTAGCACCTCTCTTTTTCTTTACATGTTTTTATTAACTATTTTACCAAATAATATAATATGTAACTGTTTGTAATTCATAGTTTTAAAATGAATAAATTTCATTTAAAAAAACAATTTTAAAATAAAAATTAAATTAAGTTTGTCCGAAATACCTTTTAATTTGAAAGGAAGCTAGTATAAAAAGTTTTTGGGTGTAAAAGACATTTAAATAAAAATGATAATTAAGTATTGTGAAAATCATTGTCTTCGTGGAGCATCTTATTATCTAGAATACGAGACTTGGGTGAACATTTGAGACTTGAAACTGCGAGTTGAAACTGAATTGTATGGTTCGAGGCAAGTTAGGGGCTAGTCTAATATTTCATTTTTCAAAACGAGTCTGATCGCTATTGTAAGTTTAACCAGGTAAAAGGGATCAGACTTGAGTGAGCTAGAGGGACCTCACTACGTGAGTATGAACAAGCAAGAAAGTAAGAACACAATAAAGTATGAGCGTATGATTGACATTGGGGAGGATCTTCCATGCCTGAATGTATTCCTTCTTGGAAAAAACTTAAACAGGACTTAGAGAAAATATACCTAAATATAAGTCCAAACTTAAATTTCCATAATAAATAGGACTAACTTTCACATGGTAACCTAAAATTTCTCCTTGCTTTGATACACCATGTTTTAATTGGGGGAGGTTTGGCTGACATTAGTCCCCCATGTCATCATATGATATGAGTCTCGATCGGAATACCTACGGTGCTATGTTTGAAAATTTGATGGTCCTTACCCCCAAACCCCGGTAAATCCCTCTAGCCCGACCTGACTCAAATCGACCCCCACCCGCTCCAATTACACCCCACAAAATTTAGTTGCCGCCTGCCATTATAGTTGCAGTTGCAATCTACCACTGTCTCCGCTGTAGTGCCACAATGTCACATTAAGTGCAAAAATTGAAAAACATGCTAACATAGCGCCAAAACAGATTGAAAGAAAATGTCAAACACTGTATAATCATAAAACTTTGTAAGATAGACTATCAATTAAGGGTGGTGACAAGATACTTTGATTCTTCACTCTAATTTTGGGGTAGGTCCCCTTGATGACATGTGCTGCTAGGCACATAGATGGTGATCCCACTTGATAGAGACCATTCACTCTCTCTTGCTCTTTGTATGTCATTTTGGGCATTCTTTGTAGTTGACCTATTCATACTTGATCAATCACTTTTGTGCTGTTTGATCTGGGTATGGATTATACCATTATCGACGAGCTTCTTTGTTTAAACATGATGGGGCGATTGCCTTTTTTAAAATTTATAGGATCCAAACTCGCTCATTTTTATGTCTAATATAATTAATTATATATAAATTATATATTACTCAATTTAATTGTCTCAAGAGCTTTGGTGTCAGTGAGTAAATTTATGTGGCAAACTTTTTTTTTTTGGCTTCCACTAGTGTTTTTACGGATATTCACATGCGTACTTCTTTTATTTTGTAGCAGTGCAAGGAGTTTTTTTTGTTTCCGCACAAGCTTTATGAAGGCCACATGGGAGAGATCTCGCGGCTGGGATTACAAAAAAACACAAACACCCACAAAAAATGGTGTTGAGGAAAGAGAAAGTGTAGAGAGAGATTAGTGATGAAATTTTTGTCTTCACCGGAGGGAGCGCTCTTAGCTTGGGTGACAAGAAGACCATTCTCGATCAAGCATTTTAGATATGAACTCACCATGATTCGAATCCTATCAAAGGTGTTTACTCTATTCACTTTAGTAGATTGAAAAATATATATTTAAAAATACTTTAAGATTTAAAAAAGTACGGAGTATATACATTTTTAGAGCATATGCAATGGCAAGGCAAGTCGTTGCATTGTCCTGCCATTAGTGGAGTGGAAGATAATACAATGGGAGATGCAATAATTGACTTGCATAGAATGTGGCGTGGCTTGTGCGAGGAGAAATGAACGGCAAAATGCGTCAATGCCACTGAATCCTTGTTCTTTTTTCTTTCTTCTTCTTTTCAGTTTTTTGCCACCCTCTAATCCTTCTTTTTTTTGTTACATGTGTTTTGCCTCACTTCTTATTCTTCTTTCCAAATCCAACTTAAAAAAAAATCTAACCCTCTTTTTAAACAAAAATACCAATTTCTTATTTTTAATTATATATGTTGTTTTTTTATTTCAGTCTATTTTCTTTTATAAAAAAATTTAAGATGTTTTCTAAAACTAAATATACATATTTTTAAAATTAGTGTTTTAATCCTAGATTATACAATTTAAGTAGATAATTAAACTAATTTTAAAAAATAATGTTTTCTCTATAAAATTAAAATCTTTACACGAAAATACAAATTTTTTTTTTAAAAAAATAAAACACATGAACTAATTAAATTATGTCAAAAATGTTAAAATGGACAAATAAACAATACTTGCCATTGCAGGACATGCTATTCTAATGGAATGCTACTGTGTGACTATACATTATTTGATTGGTTATATTGAGTATTGAGCCATGCATTCCAGGACACGACTTGTCATTGCCTATGCTCTTAAAGAATACTTAAAGATTTATTATTATTATTATTTTGCAAATTAAACGTGTTGTTTTTAATCCTAAAGTATATACTTTGTATAATCTTTATATACTCCGTATAATTTTTACTAACACGTCTGGACTTTAGGTTTTCATCCTTCTCCCAATTTTCCTTCGTTCTTCCTTCGGGCTTCGATCCATCATCCATAGCCTTCTGTCGAACATCGACCATCGTCCATAAGTCCGTCGCCGTCCCAGTTCCCAGCCGCTACGGTGTCTAGTCGCGCTGCCTATCCACTACTTGTTTTGGGTATCAGGTATGTCCAAATCCTAATTTCCTGTATTATATTTCTTGAAATTAGATTTTGAGGGTTTTTATGAGAATGTGAGCATCGTTTGCATTTGGCTTAAATGGATAGCATGTTTGAGTAACGATAATTTTATATGATGATAATTTATTTTTGGTATTTGTCAATTTGGCGGTTAATTTTTAGGTTTGAAAAAGGATTGTAGTCTAGTGTTGATTGAATTTTTTGAATTTATTTTAATTAAGATTTAAAGAACAAATTTTGCTTGTTATAAGCACCCGATAGACTTTTTAATAAGTTGTGAATCAGTGACTTTTTTGTTTCTTCGAATGTCGTTTCTTCTGTTAATTAAGGAAAATGATTTTATTGTGTTGTACTTCGTATTGTATACTCAGCTTTTTTAATGTTGGTTTCATCATTTGTGATGTATTACACACTTGAATTTTGTCATTCGTATAATAGTACATTGGTATGCCTCTGATCAGATGATGTGTATAACTTGGGCGTATTTTGGTAACTTTAAGCACATAATCTTACCAAACTAGTAAACATGCAATGTAATTTTGGACGGATGAAAAAGAAAAAAACATGCGTTTTAAATTGGGATGGAGGGAGTAATATTAACGTAATCTTATCTTGCTACGCGATTATACCACTGCGAAGTACAGATTTCAGAGTCTCAACTATCATCAATCCATAATGCATTGTGCTTTTTTCCTAAGACCAAGTTTTATTTTTTTCCATTGGATTTTGTTACTTTATAAAATTTTAATGAATCAATTTATCATGTCCTATTCTTAGGGTTATTTGGTTGTTGGAGTGTGACTGGTCTCTTAATATTAGAATCTTTAAGATATTAAGTAGTATTAAAGTTTCTCAATTTTTGACGCTTTCCTATAAAAAGAATCACTAGCATCAAGATTAAATAAAAGGATGATATGCAGATAAAATGAACATGTACGAAACTAAATAAAAGTAGCATACGTTGCACAATCAAATCAAATCCTATTAAAAATCAAAATGTTTCTGACATTGTTAAAAAAGGATGAGAGAATTACTATTTATATTACGGAGTAATATTATGCAATTATACTCGTGATACATAAGATAATCCTCCGTACACAAAAAAAAAAGAAAAAGGTTTTTTTCAAAAAAAGT